GAGAAGCACTACCCCCAGGAAATCGAATTCTCTGGCTGAACAATCTGTTGATACCACATTTGACATTCAAAATATTTAGTAATTGTTGTGCAGAAACTGGAACTCTCATAAACAGCTTGCGAGAGTATAATTTGTCACAACCATTTCTGCAGATCTGTTTGGCAAGTGACCACGGCCACGCTCGGCCACAGAGTGATTCCTGTCCTTGGGTACGTACCCAACAAAATGTGTACACAAGTACCTAAAAGACGAGACAAGAAAGACTACGCATGATAAGCCCAACCTGGAGGCCATCTAAACGTCCATTAACAGCAAATGAGTAAGTGCCGTGACATACTGTGCACCAGTGAAGATCGACAAAAGTACCGTGACATGCCATATGTGTGAATCTCCCATATATGATGTTGAACAAAAGAAGCCAGACCAAAAGTACAGGATCTTTTTACTCCGTTTATAGAAAGTTTAGAGTCAGGCAAAACTAATCTATGGCAGTAGATGGGAGGACAGTAGTAAGTGGGAGAGGGGACGGTGCTTGGGAGAGGGCGTGCGAGGGGTGGTCCGGCAGTGGTAACAGGGCAGCGTTCACTTTATGCTGACTCATCAGACTGTAGATTACGGTGCGCACTTTTCTGTATACGGGCAATATATCAATTTAAACGTTTTATATCTGCAAGCCCCAGAGAACGGGAAAAGCATTCCCCAAAGCCCTGCTGAGGCATGATTGGACGGGGTACCCGGTCACACCCAGTCCGCCACCCGGTGCCTACCAGCTGGATCTCAGCCCTGAATGGCCTCCCAATCCATACTGACAAGGAGACGTCTTGCTGAGCAATACATTATTTATCCAGCTGCCTATTAAATATCTCCACCTGGAATTCGCACAAGGAACTCAGTAGACGCTCAAATTGATCCAAGCCCTGGGCCTGCCCCACCTGGAGTGAAACTGTTTCTGAGTTTCTGACATCATTGGCTACACAAGCCAGAAACACGGGGCATGGGGTGGAACGGCAGACAGATCCTGGCCACCTCGCCTTCATAACCAGGAGGTCCCATCAGTTCCACCTGCTAAAACTGTCCAGTCCCCCCAGCCCACATTCCCCCTGCCTCGGTCCAGACCCTCCTTATCTCCCACCTGGGCTCTTACCTAGGTCTCCCCTGGACTCTGCCCAAACTCCTGCCCTTCCAACGCACCTTCCATTCTGCAAAGTGACCTTCCTAATACCTGAACTCCTTAGCATGCCATATAAAAATATCTTTGGGTATGATTGTGACAGCTTACCTCTCACCCTCATACTTCATACTCCAAGAATAATAAATCACCCGTCAGCCTCCAAACAACCCATGCTAGTTCACGTAAATATGCTTTCTATGTGCCAGAAAGGTCCGGAGTATCCTTTCAATTCAAACTTCCCTTTCCCTGTTGCAAGGATAACTTCTTGAAAAACAAACAACAACAACAACAACAAAACAAAACAAGACCCTACTTCCCCAGGCATCTAGCATTGGGACATATCACTCTCTCCCTTACCAAGACTGTTGTCCATCAGTTGTCCTCTGTGTTCCCAACAGAAGGCCCGACGCGGGGTCATAATTATAGATACAACACATCTCGGGGATCCCTGGGTGGCTCAGCGGTTTAGCGCCTGCTTTCAGCCCAGGGCGTGATCCTGGAGACCCGGGATTGAGTCCCGCATCAGGCTCCCTGCACGAAGCCTGCTTCTCTCTCTGTCTCTTTCTCTGTGTCTCTCATGAATAAATAAATAAAATCTTTTTTAAAAATTGCAATACCTCTTAATGACTTAACTTAAAAAAAGATACATCTCTGTGTTCACAGCAAGAGAGACACTAAAGGGAAAAGAATCATACAAATACAATAGGCAGAAAACCCAGAAGCAAAGAAAAGCAAAAACGACCAGAACACCCAGAAAATGGACCCTTGTAATTTGGGTGACAGATGAAGAGATTACTTTTAGCCCTAGATTTACATCGTTCTGTATAAAGAAGCATGACCGGTGGCATCCCACAGTGGTTAAGAGTGTGGACTCCAGAGCCGGACTGCCAAGGTTTGAGTCTTGTGTCTATTACTTACCACCTGGGACCTTGGGCAAGATCCCTATACCTTCTGTGCCTCAGTTTCCTTATCTGAGAAGTGGGTTGTTGTGGGAAGAGTTAATACATGTAGCGCACTATGGCACAGTGTAAGTGCAGAGAAGTGCTATCATGATGTTCATAAGGTGAAGTCAAAAAAGAAAAACCAAAACAGGTTCATATACTGAAAAAAAAGAAGAAGAAAAGCAAAACAAAACTACCTGTGTCCAGGTAAATCAGCTATGACTCCACATTCCAACCTGGATATTTTAAATCATTTCTGCCTTTAAACCAAGACAACCCAGGGATCCAGGTTCTTAGATTATCCCAGCATAGATGCCTGGGTGTGTTTCCTCGATTCCCTCACCGGGGCCGTAAGCTATGAAATTGATGGACCTTCAGGATGGCTGCGGGACAAGACTTGGAATGGCTTTTTAATTCTTAATTAATTAATTAATTAATTCTTAATTCTTAGGTGCTCTGCTTTCCTCTCTCAAAGGTAATTAGGATAGTGCTTCCTCACTCTAGAAATGACTAATGGGAAATGATAGATAATTAGAGTTCTCTGCTTAACACTTTCACTAGGTCTCCTTAAAAGAAGGTAAAATAACAAAACACAATAACCCCCCTTTCTATTTATAAATAATAAAGAGCACATTTAGAGCAAATGTCAGAGAAACTCAGGGGTGGGAGGGACCAGAGCTATGGTCACACTGTTTTCACCTTCTTCTACAAGCACCGGCTTGTTACCCTTGCCTTGCTACGTGCTGCTTTCACAACCCAACTGTTCCCACCAGGCCAGGGGCTCAGGTAACAGTAATAGCCACAATTCACTGAGAACTTACTTGAAAGTTAAGACGTCTGCGTACATTCTTGTGGCCAGCTAAGAGTGATCTCCCCAAACCCGCCATGGAGAGCTACATTTGACAGTGTGGATGAGGACAGTGGGAGCAGATGCCCCAAGCACAGAGAGAGAGCCTTGTGCTGTGGATGGCAGAGCTGCCCACCCCCCTGGGTCCCTGGATGACCCAATGGGACACAACCTACCCTGAAGAGTTACTGGAGAGGGACACACTTCCAACTGAGGGATCTCTTTGTTAGCCAAACACCAACAGATACAATGAGCTTAGTTAATCCCTAAAATACAGAGGGAAAGAATGGTGTTAGTGCCTCTTACCTCATAGGGTTACTCTAAGGGTGTAAGGAAGGGTGCCTCGGTGGCTCAGCGGGTTAAGCATCTGGCTTCACTCAGGCCATGAGCCCAGAGTCCTGGGATTGAGCACTGAAGCATCATCATCATCATCATCATCATCATCATCATCATCACCTTCATTATCACCATCATCATCATCATCATCATCATCAGGCTCCCTGCTCAGTGGGGAGCCTGCTTCTCCTTCTCTCTCTGCCCCTCCCCCTGCTCATTCTCTCTCTCTCTCTCATATAAATAAAATCTTTAAAAAAATAAATAAATAAGCAGGATGTAATGAGAGGCTGCATGTGGAGTCCTTATAATAAATATTTGGATTACTATAATTACAGATGAGGAAGTAGTAGGCGAAATGCCCAAAACCCCCAGTTAATACGTGGTAGAGCCAGGACGGACACTCCGACACCCGACCCCAGAGCTGATCTTGTCACCCGCATGCCCTTCGGCTTCAAGAAGCCTAAAACAAGTTGCTCTACAAGGAGCCTGGGGGAGTCCTGGGGTTGGGCCCTAACTGTGCTCAGGGGAGCATCAGGATGGGGAGCGTGGGCTGTGGAGGCCGATGGACACCAGCCACGGCCAATCCTGCCCTATCACTAGACCCGTGATGTAGGCACGAGCCCCCGTGTTCTCGCGTGTGAAACGGGGGACACCACCCGTCTCAAGGAGCTGGAGTGAAGATTCAAGAAGGTAACACGTCCTAAGAGCTTCTGACGCAGCCGGGCACAGATCCCTGGTGGGTAACGCGGGTATCCGGAGCGCGGGGGACACCTGGGGCCCCCGGCCCCTCCTCCAACGGCTCCACCGGGAATCTTCTGGGGCGGGGGGGGGGGGACACGGAACCATCCATCACCAACACGTGTGCAACTTTCCAGTTTGGAGAGCGGCACCACATCACCTGTCCCCTACAGGCCTGGGGGGCGGGGGAGGGAAGACAGGAATGACTGCAATTCCCGCGCTGCGGGTGGGAAACTGAGGCACAACATCCCCAGAACCCTATTAGAGGTGAGGGGCGGGCCACGACTCCGACTCGGCTGCAGATCTCGGGCCATGGGTTTGGCCCCTCGCCCAGCAAACGGTCCCGCGTCACCCCCAGGAGCGCTGCTCCACGAATGAATGAATGAATGAATGATCGTAATGCCTTAATGAATCTTAACAAACGAAAGCAGGGTGCCAAGGGGCTAACTCTGCGTCCCTGGCCCCAGCCGCCTCAGTTTCCCCGAGCGCTCGCTACGTGGTGGATGCAAACACCTGCGCGGCAAGGGAGCGCGTGAAGCGCCGCGCGCAGGCGCACCGGGCCCCCCAGGGTCGCTAGAAATGGCCACAAAATCCCACTAACGGTTGTTCCGGGGCCACCCCTGCCGGGACCGCAGGCGTCGGGGACGTGGAACAGGAGCCGGCCTGGCGGGGGCAGAACCGGGCGCGGGGGCAGGCGCTCCCCGGCTCGGGTGACCCGGGCCCGGCTGGCAGCCCGCACGCCGGGGGGGGGGGCGCCCCGAGCCAGCCCAGGGCCCCCTGCTCCCCGGGGGGGGGGCCCGGCGCCAGGGTCCGGGCCGGCGGTGTGGACGCGGGTCTCCGGAGGGGGGCCGGGCTTCCGGACCGCGAGCCCCGCGCGAGAACCCCGGGAAACGGACAGAAACAGGCCGGGCCGGCGCCCTCCGCCCTCCGCCGTCCGCCGTCCCCCTCCCCACCCCCACCTCCCTACCTGCCGAAGTGCCCCACGCGGTCAAAAATCAGCTCCAAACTCTGGGACCGCATGGTGCCGCCGTGCGCTGCGCCCCCAAGCTGGCCGCGCCGACCTCGCCGAGCGCCCCGGCCGCGGGCACCGCGCCCCGCCCCGCCCCGGCCCCCGCCTGGGTCCCTGCGCGCCCCAGGGTGCCGGGCCGGGCGGCTCCCCCCCCCAGGTCCGAGCCCCGCCCCGGCCCGGCCCCGCCCCCGTCCCGCCCTCTGGGTCCCCCGTGCGCGCCCCAGGGCGCGGGGCCGGGCGGCTTCCAACCTCCAAGGTCCGATCCCGGTCCCCGCGCTCCGCCCCGCCTCGCTCCGGGTCCCCCGCCCCCCGCTCTCTGGGTCCCCCGCGCGCCCCAGGGCGCGGGACCCGGCGTCTTCCACCCCCCGAGGCCCGATCCCCGTCCCCCGGCCCTGCCCACCCCCACCCCTCTGGGTCCCCTGCGCGCGCTCGAGGGCCCCGGGCCGGGCGGGCCTCCAACCTCCGATCCCGATCCCCGCCCGGGACACGCAGGCCCGGGGACTCGGGGGCTGAAGGGCCCTTGGTTTCTGGACCCCGCTCCCGCCCCGGGCAAGGGCCGCTTTCTCAGGGGCCAACAGTTTGAGGGCCAGGACAGGGTCCCCGCGGGCAGAGCGTCAAGACTGGATCCTGAGGACCCTGAGAAGTGACAGGGACTGGCAGGGCTTGTTCACGGTTTTATGTTTCCCAAAAGGGCAAAGAACTCTCCGGGTAGAGAGACTCCAGCAGAAGAGTCCGGGCGAGAAACTCGGTCTTGAAGAGGATTTGAGAAAGAGGGAGAGCCCGCTCCAAGGCCTTCCCTCCCCTGCTGGTAGGTTCTGGGTACCTGTCCTCTGTCAGTTAACTGTCAGTGAGAAATTGTGTTTTCAACCCGTTTATGGTGTTTTTCAATGATCAGAAGTGGTATTTTTTTTATTTTAATGAGGTCAAAATCATAAATCGTTTCCTTTATAATTTGTGACTTTTGTATTTTGTTTAAAAGAATTCTGCTTTACTACCAAGAGGTCACAAAAATGTTCTATTTCCTTCTAACTAAAAGTTTTAGCTTTTGGCTTTTCTCATTTAGGTCTTAAATCCACTGGAAGAGATTGTTTGGTTTAAGACTGAGATCCAGTTTTGGGTTTTTTCCATACAGATTAAAAAAAAAAAATTTGTCCCAGCCCCATTTATTGAATACTCTATCCTTCTCTCTGCATTGCCACCTCATCTCCTATAAAGTTTCTCTTTCTCTGTGGGTTTGTTCTGGGCTCTCTAAATCTTTTCCATTGATCTTTTATATCCATGTGTCTTTATTATTATCGTTTTATACAATCTGCTCCAATTAATCTTTTACTACTACTCCAAAATAGGTCTTATCAAAGTCACCATGATCTCCATGTTGCCAATTTCAATGGCCAATTCTCAGCCCTTATTTTATTTAATGCCCTCTGTTAAAGAAATATTATTTTAAAAGGTATAATCATGCCTCTCGTAGAAAAATAAAATGAACAAGTCAGTAACTTTATTTTACTCGCGAGTTCATAAGGGAACCAATAAGACGTTACAACCTGTTCAAAGAATTCAATGACCCCCCCTATATAAAGGCAACAAGGAACGCTAGTATGAATATATAAATAGAGGCAAAAACAGTCTATCCACCGTGCAATTGCATTTCGCCAATTCTATCAGTGCATCAGCTGCATTCCACGAAACACAATTCGTTTCCACGGACAAGAGTCATTCGCATGATTATGTTTTCTACAACTTAGAACATTGTAAAAATAGTTCAAAAACAATGAGAGATGAAGAGAACCCTAAAGAGTATTCAAAAAAAAAAAAAGAAACTTTTTTCCCACCTCAAAGTGTTCCAAAATGTTTACTGGTACCACAGTATCAGTTTGTCTTTTTTCTTCAAACATCTTCCTTGGCGTCTGTGCTTCCCCAGTGTCAGTCTGTGATTTTTCATCTCATCCTCCCGCTTGCTGTTCTCTCGGTCACTTAGATCCTCCTCCTTCTCCCGTCTCCTCTAAATGTCAGAGTACCCCCGGCCTCTGAGCTCTTCTCTTTTAACATTCCTCCTCGGTAGCATAATATAGTCCAAGAGTTGGCCAACTACAGCCCACGGGCCAAATCTGGTCTGCTACCTGCTTTAGCAAATAAAGTTTTATTGGAACACAGTCACGATCATTCATTCATATACCATCTATGGCTGCTTTCATCCCGCAATGCCAGACGTCGGTGCTTGTAACAGACTGTATGGTCCACAAAGCCTAAAATATTTACTATCTGGCCCTTTACAGAAAAAGCTTGCCAACCCATGATCTACTGCTGTGGCTTTCAAAACATATATTAATGACTCCCAGATCTATGTGTCCCAGCTGACCTCAGCCCAGGACTCCGGACTCACTAATACCACCGTCTTCTCCACATCTCGCCCACAGGTCTACAAACCACCTCAAACTTCCCATGGCCACCTTCATTCCCACTCCTCTCCAGCATTTCCCAGCTCAGCAAACGTACCTCTTGCAGCAGTTGCATAGGCCAAAACCCCTGGTGTCTCCCCCTGGAGAGACATGGGGAGGTGTCTGAGAAACAAATAACCCTATTTTTTTGTCAGCCCCAAATATCTTTACCGTCCTTCTGACAGCCTTTATTTCCTGACCCCCAAATTCCCTCCACCTCCCTTCCAAACTGCTGCTCCCAATTCTCTTTAGCTTCCTCAGGCAACTGCAACTGGTTGCAACGGGCAGCCTGGCAGAACGTTTAAGGATATTTATAAGATTTGGTCCTTCACTTAGTAAGTATTTGTTTTATTTGTGTCTGCTCTGTGTGACGGGGGCAAACAGGAGTTCAAGTTGTGATTCCTTATCCTGAAACTTCAACACACACACACACACACACACACACACGAGCCAGGCCCTTAACATTCGTTAGCTCATTTACTTCTCACAATTGTCTGAGATCAATGCTGTTCTCATTTTTGTCTTCAGGTAAGAAAAATGAGAGGCCAAGAGAATAAGCAATCTTTTAAGGTTGCCCACACCTGAGTCGCCGAGCCAGATTCCAACCCAGCTCTGTCTTAACTCTAAAACTATCGCTCATAACCATGACACTGGCACTGCTTGTTACAAAAAAAAAAAAAAAAATGCAGAATTGTGCAGAGTGACCCTTCACATGACCGGATTGGAGACCTGGTGACTTCGAACCACCAGGTTCCCCAACCTGACTGAGAAGGCCTACACGTGACTCTGCCTTTAGCCCTCAGACGCTCATCTGGCCCGGTGTTCCAGTCAAAGTCCTTAAAACTCAAAGAAGGAAGTAATTACTCCTGGGTGCGGTAACCTTGAAGGCTTCCAGAAGAATTTGATATTTGATTCAAGATGTGAAGGATTAGGAAATATTGCCAGGCAGGGGCGAGGTAGAAAGTATGTTCCGGTAGAGAAAATAGCCTGAGTAAAACCCCAGATGTAAAAATCCAGGCATGTGTGAGGCCCCAGTGAGAGGCACAGCAGCTGCAGGGTTGAGAGCAGGAGTGCTTTGTGCCCAGCCTCGGGCCTGGCCCACAAGAAATAATGGGTACGTTTACCTGACCGGCCTTGGAAGGCCCGCTCTCCAATCGACGCCGATTGTAAATGCCACCTTCATCACTTAAAAACTTTGACCCCTCACCCAAGTCACATCTCTCTGGTATCAAAAAGGTTGAATTCAAGTTAACAGTCCTACCTCATAAGGCGGTGGTGAGGTCAAATGAGACATAGCTTCCTGGAAAGGGATTCCAGGTGAATAACTCTTACACACTTTTAACAGTGTGCCTAGGCCATGGTAAGTGCTCGATAAAAGCTAATGCTGGGAGCCCTGGGGGGCTCAGTGGTTGAGCATCTGCCTTTGGCTCAGGTCGTGATCCCAGGATCCCAGGATCGAGTCCCATGTCGGGCTGCCTGCATGGAGCCTGCTTCTCCCTCTGCCTGTGTCTCTGCCTCTCTCTCTGTGTCTCTCATGAATAAATAAAATTAAATAAATAAATAAATAAATAAATAAATAAATAAATAAATAAATAAATTTATTTTGAAAAGCTAATGCTGTGAAGATAGGCCAAGAAGGATAAGTAGGTTAGAGGCACAGTGCTTGGAAGCTTCAACTTTAGGTTGTGATTACAGAGCATGAGTTAAGGCAGTGAGGAGCCACCGAAGGCTTTGTCCCATGTAGTGAACAAAATATGTGTTGTGAAAATTGGTCTGATAATGGGGGTGTGACAGAGGGAGGGGGAAGATGGAGAAGGTGGTGGTAGGACGGTCAATTGGGAGGTTGATATATTTGGAGCCCAGTGTTCGGGATACAAATTAAAGAGGTGATAGCAGAAGCAGAACGAAGGGGCTTCCCATTCAAGTGGCAGAGAAGGACGAAAGGCCGCCTTTGGCAACTGGCTGCCTGAGGAGGGCACACACGTAGAGGAGCTGAGGAGTCCCCAGGCTCACAAGGCTGAGTGACTGCTGACGGCGACCTGGCCTTTGGGGCTCCTCCCTTTCCTCCCTCTCTTCATCCTCCTCCTCCTCCTCCCTCCCTACTCCTCTGGGAAAGACGCAAGTTGCTCTGATCCTCTGAGCGGCCTTCCCCTGGTGCATTTCGCCGGCACACCCGCTGAGGGCGCTGGCGGGAGCAGCTTTAAAAGGACTGGTTCATGAACAAGTGCAATATGTCAACAAAGACTCAAGTCACTGAAATGCTTTCCCTCTTATCATAGAAGATAAACAAACAGGATTTGCAGAATGTGCAAAAGAGTTGGAGTAACTATTGTAGGTCTCTCTTGGAAACCAAAAGTTTTGGCAAAGAACCTTGAGTGTTATATCTGTGTTAGAAATGTAGGGGCACCTGGGTGGCTCAGTCGGTGGAGCACGGGGCTCTCCACTTTGGCTCAGGTCATGATCTCAGGGTGGTGAGATGGAGCCCCGCATGGGCTGTGCTCAGAGTGCAGGCTGTTTGAGATGCTCTCCCTCTCCCTCTCCCCCTTCTCCCTCTAAAATAAATAGATAGATAGATAGATAGATAGATAGATAGATAGATAG